CTTTGTCTCACGTTGGGCATGTTGCTAACAAAAGCTATTCCTTAAAAAGGACATCATGCTTGGAAAGGTGGAGTGTCTGTGAAAGTGGGTAAGACTGTCATTGAGATGGATCTACGCAGTGACAACAGCAATGGGCTCCCTTGTCAGAAATAATGCCGACGACACAGGGTAGGACAGGGATCAGATCAGTTGTTTGGTTGCTATGGTTCATACTCGACTCGATGGCACCTAACAACCAATACAGCCTGGAATCAATCATTTTAGAATTATTTTTTAAATACATATATTTTTTAAAGTGTATGCATTGCTTATTCTTTTCTTTTGTATTTGAGATTGTATATTATGTCAGGTTTTAAAGGTAGAATCGGAGAAAAATAGCAAATCAAGAAGGTATTTAAACATTTTTCTCTTGTAGAGATCACTTATAAAACATTTTTTAAAATTGCCTTGCTTATTTTAATATATAGCACTTACTGTGAATTTTCAAATTTTCTTATAGATGTTCATAAAATTCAAGAAATTAAAATTAGTTTTTGGAAACAGGAGTGGCATCCACTTCCTTAAACAACATGCCTCTGGAAACTATAAACTTTGATAAATTTCGATCATTGTAGAGGGGCTTCAGGCCTTTTGTTCATAGTTACTATGAGTAACTATGAGTGCTCAACTCAAAGGCAATAAACAACAACATAATTAGTTTAAAATTTAATTGAAATTATTTAGAATCAGGAGATTTAGAGTTCATCTTTGTATAGTCTTGATCTTTATATTTGTCTTGAATTATGCTGATGTATATTTAGGGGTTTTGTTAAAGTTATCCCTCCTCCCACATCCTTCAAAGGAAACATTCTAACGCTCAGTGACCTTTAAACACTCTCAAAACAGGACTTTTAATAATTCACAAGTTCTACTAACCATTTAAAATCTTGAGGGTTCTCTATTTCAGTGTGTGTGGAACCTTCTTTGCGTTATTTTCTCTTCAGAAACATAGGTTAACTAGAGTTAAATCTAGTAACCAAAAGTGTAACTTTCAAAAATGGTGACAAGTGAGAACATCAGCGCATATGAGGTTTCTGAGAGATATCTGCCTTTGTAAAATCTGTATTTTTGGTAAACAAACTCATGTATTTGACATAAATTGCTTACAAAATATCATTTCTGTTTTCACTTAAGACATATTCATTTGATATAAAAGATAATATATTGACATTGAAGGCAATGGATGAAGTATAGGTTTGTACAAAACTTTACATAAATTTATAAAATTTTGTATAAGAACTGGTATTAAATTCTCATAAACTATTTTCTGAATATTCTTAATATAGATTTTTCATCAAAATTTTAGCATATAAATTTGCTTTTACTGTTACTTTTGATTAAAAATCTATTGTAACTTTTGTAGTTATCACATTGATGGTTACTTGCATTTTAAAATATTGTTTCAAAGTGACTTATTCTATCTGACAAAATGGTTTCTAAGTGGTGGGTTGTACTATATAAGTACCTACTACTGAGGATAATTTGGGGAACTATTTTAGTTTCGTTTGTTTATGTATTTAAATAGACCTAGGAGGATCCATTTTCTTTACAAAGTCTCTATATCGTGTAAACAAAAGTTCAGCACTAAGTGTCACAGAAATGGGAGGCATTGAACACCTGTGAGAGAATCTTTTACAGCCATTTATCACACTAAACTGCTTAATGGTCGATTAAGAATTGGAATGAGTGATCATTAGAATTATTGTTAGCAACAGTGATTAGCAGAATGTTTGATTACAGGAAAGGTAGGAAGCTGGGAAGGATGGAAGGATACTCACAACTTATTTAAGGATCATTAAACTATCAATCCGTTATCATAGTATATGCAAAATAAGCTTTCATGATTATCCTCCTTTTTATAAGTCACAAGTATGTAAGACAGTGTGCTTTGTAATTCTTAAAAATAAAGATGGTTTAATATATATGGCATGAATATTATTGTAACCATAAAGAAGGCACAAATCAGCTAAAATGTTTGATACATTTAATATAAATGCATTGAGGCTTTATGATTTACATAAGTATTCTACCTGTTGAGTTCAAGTTCTGTAAAGACACTATGAAATGTTGTAATAGAAACTTTCATTTGTTTGTGAAGTCATTGTCCAAATCTTTTCTTTTCATAACCCCCGGAAGTAACATAAAGAAAGCCTCGTGATGCAGGATAAAATCTCAGCTACTGAACTGATGTTAGCCGACTAGAATCTGCCAGTCTCTTCATGGCAGAAATCAAACCCTCTGCTAATCACTGTTGTTAAAAATTCCTTAAATGTTTGCTTGCAGTCTTAGGAATTCAATGAGGCTGCTATATGCTAATCTGTCAAGTTGCTATGAATTGGAAGGGAGTTCTGATGTTCTGGTCCATAGGGAGTTGCTCGACTAACCTTAAGGCGGTGTTTCTGTCATAGTTTGACTCTACCCGTGGTTCTGATGAAGAAAAATGGGGTATCTTTTCCTATCTAGTTTATAGCCTCTTGAAACCCAATGGAGGGTCCACTATAAGTCTCTTCCAACATATATATGTGTATGTATATGTATATGTATATGTATATGTATATGTATGTATATATGTGTGTGTATATATATATATATACACACACACAGAGAGACGGGGGGAGAAAGAGGGGGAAAGAGGTGTGTGTGGAGTCCTTGGGTATAATATGATTTCTTTGTTTTTATTTGAAACTTTAAAAAAGTATTCTTACTAAGAAAAGCATTATTTTATTTTCTTACAAAAGTAAAAGCATTGACCAACTACTCGCATAGTGGCAGAATGTACTTCCTTTAGAAAATGCTTCTAATTACATACTTACTGTGTTTTAAAAGTGTTCAGTTTAGATTTCCCTGAAGTAGCTCTCCTTTGATTTGACTTGCTTTTACATCTCTCTCTTTGTTGGGTCAGATAGTAAGCATCTGGTAGGAATGAAATTGCTCTAGTAGTCAGAAAGCCTCTGCTCCATTTCTGATTCTGCATCTGAACTTATCTTGTGACTTTGGGTAAAATGTTGAACTCTCTCTGTAGCTCTGTAATCTATTCACTGTAATAAATTCACTAAATGGATTGAGAATAATTGTGAATGTCTTCAGTTCAAATAGCATTAAAGATACTATCAATGATATAAAGTAATCCCAGATAACTGAAAATATTAGGTGTGACAAGAAGCTTTGTTCATATGTGTGGTTTTTATGGTTTGGGCTTTTTATATTCTTTTTTTCCCCTCCAGAACATAGTGTTTTATTAGAGATAGAATAAAACAATTACTTCATCTAATACATGTTAATTTTATTTTAACATGTCTGGAAACTATTTTAATTGTATGAGAAATGTGTTTATAGGGTAATTTGCATGCAACAAAAATGGCACGATATGGTACAATTTTGCATGTAACTTGTGTTATTAATATATGTTTGATTTTTCTAACTTACCTTCTTTGAGAAATGGGTGGACTGAGAGTGAAAAAACAAATAACATGTATCATATTAACGAGTCTGAGTACATTTCAGGAGGAAATAAGAACTTTTTCTAGTGGTTAATACCATCAGCCATATTTGCTTTATAATACTAATAAAAGTCAGTGTCTGATTCTAACAGGTGAAAAATGTGCTTCTAATGGTATAATAAAAATGCCATCATTAAAATTCACATGTGCTGTTCCTTTTCTAGTAATTTTTAACCCATATGAGAATTTCTATTTTTTTTTTCTCAAGGGGGAAAATATTTGGAACATTTAATACCGGGCTCGAATAGAAAGCAATTCGTTTTTCATTTTCTCACTGTTTAGATCAAAGAGATGAGTTTGTTATAGGACACTCTTTTTAAAACCTATAATTTTAACATGTTGGCTATATCAAGTATATTTTGATACAGTTTGTCTTTGTATAAATCATTCTGGAACTGATACACATACTGCATAACTGAATACAGTGTTTTTTATATAAGCATTTGTGGTATTTATTTCAAAGTTTAAATTAGAGACTTCAAATAGGAGGGTATTGTTTTGTATTGTTCATCTGAGTTAATAATACTAGTCCCAACTCACTAATATCTTTGTAAGTAATTATTTGATTGAAACTCTTGAGTTTAGCAGACTTTTTATTGCTTTCAAATTATGTTTTCTGATATTTTCCACTAACAAAGGGAGAATAAAGCTTCTCTAAATGTTGGGTCATATCTATTATATAAAGTGTTGGATTTGGATGGATTTTAAGGAAAACTTCAATAGCATATAATGTGGTACTTATAAGAAATTTCTGAATAAATTAATATTATAAAAGTAATATGATCAAAGAACATTTGTTTACATTGTAGGTTAGTTTTAATTCTGTATTTTTCCTGGGAAAGAATGTATTTGGAATACTCTTTTTAGAAAGAATTGTCTTTTTATTCTCCATAGTTTATGACAATATTTTGCTGTATTGAAATGATTCACAGAATATTAGTCTCAGTCATACTTTATACTTTGTTTTCATGTGTCTCAGATTAATTCAGGAAAATTAGAAGTTATAGAATTCTGTTGGAACAGTTTTTCTTTTTCTTTTTGATGACTCAAATTCTTTAAATGATAATAAAAATTCAAAAAATCATTTCTACAGATTTGACTCAGTAACATCTTGCATGGTGTATTATATGAGTGACATTATTTTACTAATGATGTCTTTCTTCAGCACCGATGCTCAGGATTGACAGTATCCAAATAATTGAAAACTTTTGCATCCTCTATTTCTATACTAACTTTTCTTTTCTTATTCTGCTAACCTATAGTATCTTAACCAGTTCACCATCAGTTCTTCCTATTCTTTTCTTGTATGGAATGCATTTGATTTTATCCTCCCTATCACTGGACACAGGATTCTTTCTTTCTCAAAATGATTTGGGCCAACTCCTTCAGTACCACCTTCTACCTTTTGAGTATACCCACTCACACCCATCTCCTTTGTCTATGTCTGTCCATTACACGCTGTGATCACAGAAGACGTGGACTCCTCAAGGAGAAGATATGCAGGTCTGTCTCTTCTACTGATTTTCTTTGTTATATTTTAATTTACTTAACTAATTCTAGACTTTTTTTTACCATTTTTTATTCATTTCATAATTTTTTCATTCTCCTCTAGTATAGGAAATTAGGAATTTTGCATACATGTAATTGTAGCTATTTCTATATTCAGTTTTTAACAGCAACTGCTCCTAACTGATGGATTGCACCAAAATTATTAATTCTATGCTCTGTGTGTGTGTGTGTGTGTGTATGTGTGTGTGTGTGTGCATGTGCACACAGATTTTTCCATTTGCTTTAGCCATAAAATCCTTTTTTTGGAATTTTTACTTAATTCTAAAAATACTTTTTTTTCTATCATGAAGTCAACAGAATACTATATCATGTACAATACAAAAAGTCTTTCAGACACGGTAAATACCCTAAGTAAATGGTCAGACTCTCTGAGGACTTAATGTATATGGGAAACCCATGTTCTGTTTACTACCATATAGATAAGTTTTGATAATGTATTTCTAAAACCATGAAATCAAATAAATCTGTTTCAGCTAATGGCCTAAACAGATTTAATAGAAGAGATAAACTTAAGCTGTACTTTGGACATTCATTCAACACCCACTTAGTAAAGTGCCTGCTATGTGGTGTTATTATATAGGTGCTGGACCTAAGAGGACACTCTAGTTCACTTCCTGCCTTCCCCTGCTGTGTATCTAGTATGAATACTATGAATCTGACAAGCAAATGCAGTAATATTAGAGATGGTATGAGAGGATTATGTGTGTTTGTGCATTTATGTAGGTTACAAAAAGGAGAATGTGATTATTTTTGCCTTAAGGAGAAGATATTTCAAGATGGATATCATAGAAAAGATGACTTCACATTTCAAAGTTAAAAGCTGGATAGATTCTAGCCCAAGAAACAGTGTAAGCAATGGTTTGAATAAATTCAAGCAAAAGTCTCCAGGAGTAGGAAACTGAAGGTCATATAGGTTTAAGTATGTAAGTTAGGATAGTGACAAGTTCTGACACTGATTTCTTGAACGATTTCTTTGGATGCCATGAAAAAGATAGGATGGAGTAGTAAAAGCAGGAAAGAATGCAAAGTGATCAGCCAAGAATTGATAAAGGTAAAATTAATATATCACTTGAGGCAATTGGTACACAATTTATTTAAAGATAAAATTTCAGTAATAGTTCATAACTGGTTGGATAGTACTGAGGCAGGAATAGGAGAAAGAGATAATAATCTTATGAGACTGGGATAATACATTTTTATCACAGGGAATTTAGGTTAAATGGTTTACTTTGATGATGAATTTCAGTTTCCTTTGGAACATTCAGATCTAGATGTCTTATACAGTTAGGTGATGAAGTATACAATCTAGAGCTAAGAAAACAAGTATGGGCTAGTAGTACAAAATAAAATATGAGCATGTATATGAAACTACTGCACAATGGACTCAAGTGTATAGGAGGTAGTGAGAATGGCACAGGAGAGGACAGGTTTCAGATCTGTTGCTCATAGGGTCATACTTGACTCAACAACATATAACAACTACATTAGAATGAATATGACTGCCTGGAGCGTATAACAAATCATTAACATTTATTCATTTAAGAAGTTGATAAGAGCAAGATTCAGAAAACAGTGAAAGGACAACTTAAGGACAGTAAAATATCCAGAAGAGAACAGAATTCAAGGAAAGAAAGTTTCAAGAAGCATCTGATTAACATGAATCAAATATGTTGTTGTTGTTGCTGTTATTAAGTGCCATCGAGTGATAGACGACTCATAGCGACCCTGTGAATGAAAGAACGGAACACTTGTATAACTTTCATCGTTTCTCCACATTCATAGAGTTTCTGGAGGAAAGCTATTTCAAAAGTGGATACCACTCCTACTTCCATGCTTGTTTTAATCAGGAAGCTCCACCAAACACTTGTCCACTATGGGTAACCATTATCACATTTGACACATCAGTGTCACAGTGTTTTAGCATCACAGCAACCACAAGTTACTTCTGTTCAGCAATGCACAGACCAGTGCTATACCACTTAGAGTGTTTTACTAAAAACAATTAAAACCAGGCCTGAGGGCTACAAATTAAAATCACCCACCTTTGGCTTGGTAACATAACTTTCTATCCACTAGGCCAACAGAGCTCTCTCTGTGTTGTAAATCAGATATAGAGAAAGATAAATAATTGTTAAAAATGAAATTTGTCAGTGATTGGTTTTTGCTCGATAGTTTCAGTGAATTTCTGGGAGTGAGGAATAGAAGACTGATAAGGATGAGAGAGTGGAAAAGAAAGGAAAAAAATGGTTGTGAAAACATTAATGATTGCGGGGAGTGGGAGAGAGAGGTAAGAAGTTGTAAAAGTATAGTGACTGAATAAAGACCCTACATTTATGATGACATTGAATTCCTAAAACTGTTTAACTGTTTCATTGACTCACTATCACCCTGCAGATGCAATCATGGCAGAAAGAGAAACATAATTAAGATTTTGAAGAAAAATAATTAAAATTATGCTCAAGATAGACGTGAGGGATGCTCAGCCTTCTATTAAGTTGTGGTGAGATGCAGAATTTTTTATGTATTGAAAATTAAAGGGATCCAGTCAAAGAGCTGGAACTTGTGCGATATTGATGGCATGCTGAAATAATTGGATATAGAGTTGAAGGAATAGGAAGTTATTACCAGAGATTTACTTCATGTCATTTAGAATCATAAGATGTTAGACAGTTCTAAATGATGTAACAATATAGAGGTAGGTCATGAGAATGAATTTCTGAGTTACAGAGCATAGATTAAGGTTGCTGGTGGCAAAGAAAGCACTTGATGCTAGATATTTTATATAGACATCAGTCACTGAAAGTTACAACAAATGCCTGGTGAGAAATAGAGAAGTTAATGGGAAGTGTTTGATGATAGCAATATGGAAATCTAGTGGTGTGATCGTAAAAGGAGTGGATTTATATATGAAGCATCTCTGCAGACTTGGAAGAACGCTGGCTCTGCTTTCAAGCTTCTGAAGTGTAAGGTATTGGACAATTTCTTGAAATGTTTTTGACAGTGACAGTATTCTTATAAAAGGGTCACCTTTCAATTAAGTCTCGATGAAGTGAGCATTCTGTGATGAATCTGAGAATATGGAACACTTTAGGAGAATTTCAACCTACATACATCAGAGTTCATAATGGAGAAGATTAAGATGATCCTTGGCAGTGGTGGAGAGAAATAGGGGGGAAAGTTCAAGATAGGAAGGGTTGACAAGGGTTGGAAAATGTTAAGAAATGAAAAACGTGTGCATTCTGTAGTAAATGAAAGACGAGTAAGGAGAAAATAACAGGTGCTAATAAGAAGAGAGGGAGAGGAATGGGGAGAATGTTTAGAAGAAAAATGCAAGGAATTTTGTGACAATTCAAAATAAGAAAAACAAATTTGGCTTTTCAAAAAAGAACTGAAGAATAGTACCAGTCAATTGTCATAGTTTTATTAAGTTGTAACTTGATGGCTTAGTGATAAGAGTTGCTCTGCCAGTCCAGTTTGATCACAGTTCAAATTCAACAGTTGCTCCTTTGGACAAACATGGTCAGTGTCCTCCTGTTTGTCTTACTGCCTCTGTAAGCACACTGGGGTGGGGAGGTCAGGTATGAGTCAGTCCCCACAGGGTGGTACATAACAACTTCTGCCTGTACATTTGTTTTCACTTTGCTGAATGTTTTAAAAACAAAACTAGAGACCACTTGAAATGGAATGATCAATATAAAAGATATTTTAAAATGTTGTTTTGATAAGTTACATAAAATTAATAGCCACTTATACATTTAAATACAAGTGTCGGTCACAAAATTAAACTTAATTCCAGGCATAATTTCCATCTTCTGACAACCTTAATGATTAAAACTTAACAATTCAAGTTTAATTGAGTCTACTGTTTCTTAATAAAAGTATCATTGAAAATTAGTGATATATATTCATGCTCCAATTTGAGTTGTTGATGAAATTATTGTTTTAGTGTTCTGTCAGAATAAGTTAAGGGAAATTTTTCAAAATTAATGAAAAGAAAATGAGTAACATATTTAGTGCCACAGATATAATTGGTAATAAAATTATTTTTATTTACTGTTTAAGGATAGCTAAGATAAATTTCAAGTTTAGAAATAGGTGAGGAAAATAGGGTAGGAATCTCTGGTGGCTTAGTGATAAGGAATTGTGCTGCCAACATAAAAAGTGTGCAGTTCGAATCCACCAACTCTTCCACAGGAGACAGATGAGCAACTTTCGTGTTGATTTAGTGCCTCTGAAAACCTGTTGAAGGGTCCTGTATGGATCGGTTCCAACTTGATAGTACACAACAAGAAAGGAAAGAAAGGGAGAGCTAAGGGAAAATTTTCAAAATTAATAGAACTACAATTTTCTGTCTGCCTGGAAATGAATCATTTTTTCTGAATGTTATCTGTTAAGTATCATTTCAAACTGAACTTCAATATCTTTTCAGTGGAGATTTTGCTCTTCTCATGTTATGTTCTGATAGGTAAAGAGAATTAACATTCAAAGCATGGGGAAATTTTATGTGTGTGGATACATATGTGTAAATGTACATGGATTTTGAAATTATTCAGTCTTTCAATCAGCCATACAGCAGAGTTCTGTTTAATCTTATTATGCATACCCATTTTGCAGATTTTCTGTTTGCATTAGTTACATTAGTTCTTTTGTAGACTCAATGTTATTGTTAAAACTTCAAGACAAATACTCAAGATTTTTTCCTAATAAAAAATCATAATAGCCACTCTGAAACCTTACTAAAAATATTAATCCCTCAGTGAAGCATAAGGTGCCAACTTTTTGTTAACTCAGTACTGTGCCAGGTACTTACTTAGATTTATTTTTCTAAAAACAAATGTTTAAAATTTTATGTATGTGTGTGTCTAAGGGAAAGTTAGTTCCATGGTCTCCAAAGAGTTGTACTGCTAATGAAAGGAATGACCATCTCTAGTGCC